GGGGGGGGGGGGGGGGGGGGGGGGGGGAAGTTCGAACCCACGACCCTTGGGTCCAACAAGGAGGTGGTTGGCTATTAGGTCATCACTGAATCCTCGGAGATTCTAATATACATTCAGATTTCCCATTTTATCTTGAAGATCATTCTGAGACAACAATCAATAGTATTCTCTTACATTGGTAGTTCTCAGCTTTTTGCTTATGGCAATGCTTTCAATTTGCTCTCTACTGTTTCATTGCATAATGTGTTTTACTTGTATCCTCCGTTTTTGTCCTTGGCAGCGTTTGCTCGTGGTGTTTTTGGTTTTGATTTCGATTTTGATTTTATTGGCGAAGGATGGGTTTAGCCTCTTACTTTTGATCAAAGTATTGTTCTTTTTATATTTTATTATGTGAACAGTGATTTGGGTTAAGACATTTATGGTGTGTTTGGCATTAGTAGGAAAGATGGAAGAATGAAAAATTTGAGGGATACATTTTTTATTATTCGTGCGTGAAATTTTTCATTCCCTCGATTTGGGTTAAGACACTTATGGTGTGTTTGGTATTAGTAGGGAGGATGGAATGGTGGAAAATCTAAGGGATACATTTTTTATCTTTTGTGGGTGGAATTTTTCATTTCTTCTATGTTTGGTAGGAGTGTTGAAAAGTAGGAATGATTTAATTTTTTTTTTTTAATGTTTGGTATAGATGAAAAAAACGAAAGCATAGAAAAATTATAGATGCGTATTTTACTATTATATTTATGTATGAAATTAATGTGGACATAATATGAAATAGATAAATAGGATATATTCATATATTAAAGGATATAAAGGTAAATAATGTATATTTAAACCCACATAATTAAATTTTTATTTATTTTTATTTTTTCTCAATATTAGAGGAATAGATTTGGCTTAATGATACGTTAGTTGACTTGTTTTTAGGGATAATATACCAAAACACACACAACTCCACATACTAATACATTAAAAACACACAAATACATACACTAATCCACCAAAAAATGCAAACACTAATTATACACTAAAACACACTCCCACCTCACACATTAATATACCAAAAAATACAAATAATAATAAACCAAAGAACAAACACAGAAACACACGTTAATATCCCATAATACATCAAAATGGACGCACTTATGATAATAATTTGTGAGAATGAGTCAGGCACAGACTATTTACTTTGGTGGCTCTTGGAATTTTACATTTTTTGAAGTTAATTGATGATTTTAAGGTACGGCGTAATATACAATATGATTTCTTCTTTCATTCTCTTTGTAAAGAGTATCTTTTGATGATATGAAATTTGTATTTGTATTGATTATTATTGGTTCTTTTTCAATTCTAAAATTTTTATTGAATTGATATGTATTTTGAGCTAAATGTTTTGGGATTGATTGATGCATGTATGAAATATATTTAGGGTATATTTTGTGGCATTGCTAGGTCTCGATGTGTTTATGGCCTTGCAGGGTGTATTGTTATGAGTTTATATGTCTAAGCGTCATTTGTCATGTCTCAAGATAAACCAAGTATAAAGTTATATTTGTTAACAGTTGATTTATGTAAATTGTCAAATTTGATTTATTGTTCTACTGCCCAATTTTGGCTATCAATTGAGTTATTTAGTATTTGAATGTTTGTATCTTTAGTGTTGATTATATTGTCTTATATCATATTGTATATTTTCTCATTTTTAATATTTTTTAGGAAGATTTGAGAGGAAAGGACAAGAGTTGGATATCAAAAGAATTGAAGATTTGTAATGTTTCCTCTTGAGCTTTTGACCATACCTAGCCCCCACCCAAACTTTATTCTCAACTCTAATCAATTTTAAACTTATTTTTTCAATTCAGTTTTTTTCTTAAAACGTCATTTCAAATGATGCCTGCTTGTGTGTGTGTGTGCGTATTTTGATGCGCGTGTACATGTATGTGTATTTTGATTTATTAATGTATGTTTGTTTTATGTTGTATTAGCGTATGTGTGTGTTGTTTTATGTTGTATTACTCTGTGTGTGTGTGTTTTGGTGTAGTAGTAGTGTGTGGGTGAGTGTTGGTGTATTAGTGTGTGTGTGCGTTCATATGTTTTTAATGTATTAGTGTGTGTGCGCGTTCATATGTTTTTAGTGTATTAGTGTTTATTTTTTTGGTATTTGTGTGTTTGTGTATTTTGATTTATTAGTTTGTGTGTGTTTGTGTGTTTTTTGGTGTATTAGTGTGTGTGTGTGTGTTATGATATATTAGTGTGTTTGTGTATTTTTTTGGTGTAATAGTGTTTGTGTTTTAGTGTATTAGTGTCTGTATGTATATTTTTTGGTTGTATTAGTGTGTATATAAATTTTTTTGTGTAATTGTTTGTATTTAATTATTATGTTTTTTTGGGTAAAATATGTTATTTGCTTCAGAAAAGCAATTTTTTTGCTTTTATAAAAAAAACATTAATTTTTTATACTTTTGAAAAGCATTACCAAAGATGCCTAATACTACTCGACAATGTTTTATGGTTATTAACCCGATATTTTTATCATTGAAATCATGGCATTATTATTATTAAATTCTTAGAAGTAGTTGCCTGTATTTTGTCTAAGAGGAGTCTTACGATGGATAAAACACTCTCTGCATCACATGACAATGCCATGTGATGTATATCTCTCTTAAAATATCGTACATTTTCATCTGGTTGACGTCACTAGTGAATTCCTCGGATCGTTTTTGAAAAAATCAACTTACGAGCCCAACAACTAATGTTTTCTTTGATAGGAAGGATAAAAAATTGGCAGGATGAAAAGTTAAAGAGATATATTTTTTATCATTCAAAGAATAAAAGTAAGAATGATTTACTTTCCTTCCTTGTGTTTGGTTGAATGGATAGAAAATAAAAATGACTATTTTTTTTTTTGTGTTGGCTAAGATTAGGGGTGACAATCAAGTCGTATCGTGTCAGATTCATGTTGAGCCATTACGGCTTTGAGTCGAACATTAATGACACCTAATTCAACTCATTTAACTAATTGTATCATGTCGAGTTATGAGTTGACATGTTTATTTTTTTATCGTGCTCGTATTCGAGTTAATCAAGTTTGAGTTATAAAATTCGTATCGAACTCGAGTCGAGTCATTGTGTTAATTAAAAATTTTCACCCTTAATTTAAATGGGAAAAATATTTTTTTAATTTAAATTTTAAATTTTTTAGTTTTTAGTTTTTATTTTAAATTTTTAAATTTATTTAATTTTTTTTATATATATATACATATGTTATTATTGTATTTTTATATAAAATTAATGTATACATAATATATGTATAAATAAAAAGATATATAGACAAATAAGATACATCCCGACACAAATAATTAATTTTTCGTTCGATTTTGGAAGGATTGATTTTGATGAGTTGGAAGGAAAGTTAATCCATCCACTTTTCCATCCTTTTTATTTTCCTTCCTTACCAAACACGATGTTTTATTTATTCCTCCAAATTTCCATCCTTTTAACTTTCCATCCTCCCATTTTTCTATCGTACCAAACGGAGAATAAATGTTGTGATAATTTTTTATTTAATATATACACCACATAATATTTCAACCATCAAATATTATTTTTTAGAAACTTCAAGGGTAGTTCAAGCTGTAATAGAGACGAACTGTAAACCAAGAAATCTTAAGTTTGAATTTTGACATTTTTTGGAACCAAGTCATAAGAGATCTATTTTTCATGAATATCTTAGTTTCGACGTGAATGAAATACTTTTGATTGGACAAAAAAAAGAATTAGTTGAAGTGTGCGTAAGTTGATTTAAATACCACTCACCATTGAAAAAAAAACAAAAAAAGATATATTGAACTACCATTTTAGCCATTAATAAAAACTTCAATAGAGCTAGCAAATGTTGTGAGCATCGCTCTTTGATACTAGCCTACTAGGGTGCACCGGTCAAATCTACTTGTTTTTAGTTCATGTTCCTTTTTTGTTCTTTAATTTCTCTTAGGGGTGCTTACAGATTGTCTAATGAAAACGATGTGGCAATACAATCGATCGTATTGTCTATTCAAACTCTTAGATTTCAATATGTGGGCAGTTAACATAGAACGATAAACTTGTATTTTTTATTATATAATGATGTATGAACTCGAAATAGGAAATGAATGCTTGAATTGAAGAGTTCAAGACTTAGATATATTAGTGTGTGACTGACCAATATAGAAAAAATTAATCTAAGGTTGAGTGTGATAACTCTATGAGATGCTATAGTAAGCATAGACCTGAGGTAAGAGTTGCAGCACAAGGAAAAATATACAGATTATAGTGATTCACCAGTTGAAGAGCTTAACTAATCTACTTAAATGAAGTCTCTTGCTTTTTAGACAATTTTTTATTTACTTGGGAAGAAGTTGGAGTTACAATTTCAGAGATTACAATTTGGTTGTTCTTCTTCTTTTATGAGGNCCGACACAAATAATTAATTTTTCGTTCGATTTTGGAAGGATTGATTTTGATGAGTTGGAAGGAAAGTTAATCCATCCACTTTTCCATCCTTTTTATTTTCCTTCCTTACCAAACACGATGTTTTATTTATTCCTCCAAATTTCCATCCTTTTAACTTTCCATCCTCCCATTTTTCTATCGTACCAAACGGAGAATAAATGTTGTGATAATTTTTTATTTAATATATACACCACATAATATTTCAACCATCAAATATTATTTTTTAGAAACTTCAAGGGTAGTTCAAGCTGTAATAGAGACGAACTGTAAACCAAGAAATCTTAAGTTTGAATTTTGACATTTTTTGGAACCAAGTCATAAGAGATCTATTTTTCATGAATATCTTAGTTTCGACGTGAATGAAATACTTTTGATTGGACAAAAAAAAGAATTAGTTGAAGTGTGCGTAAGTTGATTTAAATACCACTCACCATTGAAAAAAAAACAAAAAAAGATATATTGAACTACCATTTTAGCCATTAATAAAAACTTCAATAGAGCTAGCAAATGTTGTGAGCATCGCTCTTTGATACTAGCCTACTAGGGTGCACCGGTCAAATCTACTTGTTTTTAGTTCATGTTCCTTTTTTGTTCTTTAATTTCTCTTAGGGGTGCTTACAGATTGTCTAATGAAAACGATGTGGCAATACAATCGATCGTATTGTCTATTCAAACTCTTAGATTTCAATATGTGGGCAGTTAACATAGAACGATAAACTTGTATTTTTTATTATATAATGATGTATGAACTCGAAATAGGAAATGAATGCTTGAATTGAAGAGTTCAAGACTTAGATATATTAGTGTGTGACTGACCAATATAGAAAAAATTAATCTAAGGTTGAGTGTGATAACTCTATGAGATGCTATAGTAAGCATAGACCTGAGGTAAGAGTTGCAGCACAAGGAAAAATATACAGATTATAGTGATTCACCAGTTGAAGAGCTTAACTAATCTACTTAAATGAAGTCTCTTGCTTTTTAGACAATTTTTTATTTACTTGGGAAGAAGTTGGAGTTACAATTTCAGAGATTACAATTTGGTTGTTCTTCTTCTTTTATGAGGGGATGTCTCTTGTATTCATACCTATTAGTGGGATTATCTTCTAGTCATCGTCACATAATTCCCAAGTTTATAAAGATTTTATTGAAGAGATATTGGACTATTAAAAATTACATTTCCTAGGTGTGATGTAATCTTTTAGAACATAACATTGTGACTTGTCTTCAAGTTTAAATACACTCTAATGTTTCATATCTATGAATAGTCATAGTTTGAGATCATTCGGCTTAAAATAACCTCTTATAGTTTTAATGAGCTCGTAAATAAAGGACCTTGATCCATGTACAAACGTTTTTTTTTGGTACTTGATAATGGTACGATTTCGGCATGGGCAGCTCATCCAAAACCCAGAACGTCTAATAGCCCCCTAGGTGCATGGCAGCCCAAACAGCTCGTCCACCCTGCAGTATGAATGGGCTGCAACCCAAAGAAGAGGATCCAACAGCGCCTAGGTAGATAAGTCCTAGCTCAACCTCCATCCAACTCGACAGAGAAATCAGCATGGGAGCAAGGAGCTCAATACTTTTTAGATTTGAGTATCTCCCGTCCCACCACGTGTCCAGGAGATAGGGGGACAATTTCTGGAGCCCTTAATAAACTCGTACTCTTTGATAAAGAGAATATTTGTACACATACCGTTTAAGAATCGTGAGGACAATAACATTAGATGATAGACATCACTACAGAACGAAAGAAGGGGAGACCACATAATCAATCAAAAGAAGGAAGAAACCATAGAAATCATAAATAATTACTTGTATAAACAGAACACTATCACACTGTGTAAAAGACTTTAAAAAGAAAAATCTGTATTCACAAGGCATTATATGCAAAGGCTCTATGCCAACAAATTTATTGTAATCTTCTTCTTCAAGAAATATAAAACCTCAAGAAACAAGAGACTCTATTAAAATAGATGTAGCATTGGTCCTTCGCTAAAGTGAATCACTTATATATTGTTTTAATCCATTTTTATAACTTATTCATCAGTTAATTCAAGCATTCATATTTCATACTACCCCCTCCTCCTCTGGGCCTCATAATTACTGTTTTCCACCTGGGTTGAGCATTTTTTTTGAACCATCAGTACTCATTACATAATATAAAAAGATTCACTATGATCCAATAATAGTGGTTGCCGGGTCAAACAATCAAAGAAGAAAGTCAATTGTTATCATATGCTTTTTAATTATAAAGGACTCATTGCTCTCCTTAGAATATTATACTAAGTGGCCTATTATATTAATTTAATAAAATATTTCCACCATGAACCAAAAATACAAGCTAAAAAAGTTAGGTGACAAAGTTTTTGTTTGACCAGTCGGTGAGAAAAAATTTGGTGCATTAATCTTGCTGTCCTGTCTTGCACATTGGTTCTCAGTTCATCCCATTCCTCTTTCTACTATATTACATAATATATCATTTAAATTTAATAAATATTTCTTGCCCTTCTTTATACTTATTAGTTTTGATATGTTTATTCACCCTCAGTTTAAAGAGTTTGGCCTTACAAATATTTTTATGTCTCTATATAATAATTTAAATGTTTTTATGTCTCTATATAATAATTTAAATGATGAAAACATGAATCACATGAATAAAATAAAGGAAAATGATATTTAGAATTAAAATGTGGATTTAAAAATATAGACTTGATCGATCATGACTTTTGAATAAATAGTGAGTCTTAATAAATACGAAAACTCACAATGAAATCAATGATATTGATTGATCAAGTTTATATTTTAAGTCCATATAATAAGATAAAATATTATTTTAAAAATTTTTTAACGAGTATAATGTAACTTTTGAGAGTACCGACACACTTAATGCCCCTTCAACTTTTAATGATGTTACTGACAATAGTAATAAAGGTAAAGATAAAATATTTATGTTAGTTTTAATTTTGTGCAACGAGGTATGACAACATCTAGGTGATTAATTGTACTTCAACAATATTATAATGCTTCTGTCGAAGATCCTTGATTTTGACATTTTCGCCAGGTGGAAAGAATATAAAAGTAGGAAAATTTCATGCATACCAAAATTTTTACCAAAAAATATTTTTATCAAATGAGTTGACAGCAGTAGATCACTTTCGGACCCACTAAATACTGATCAAAATATTTTTGATTAGATATAGAATTGTCAACTCATTTGATAAAAATATTTTTTTATAAAAATTTTGGTATGCATAACATTACTCATAAAAGTATGTTTCCAATTCTGTCAACCATAGCTCATGATATTCTAACATATATATCTAGTAATAAATAGTTAAATACATATGATTAGAATTGATTAATAATTGTACTCATATAGGTCGTTTGTTGCAATATTAAGAGGTGTATTAAAGAATCAAAATAAATTAAAACTGTCTAATCAGTTCTAATGCTTTGTTTGATAGACAAATTTGATTCCATATTAATTTAAAAAACGTAAATTAATCGTATATTTTTCATATATTTTTTATATTATAGACTTATATTATGGAGATATATTAATACCACCATAAGAGGTGGTATTATAATCCAATTCAAACGTATTATTGTATACATTTCTTGTTATAACTCAATAATTGATAAAATCAAGCTGTCATCAATATAACAAATACTGATTGAAAATATTTTTTGTCAATTTAATATTAATACGATGAAATAAATTTCTAAACAAACAATAGTTTGTACTAAATAACTATTATCTAATGCTATTGTACATTACCAAAATAAAATTACGTATCATTCTAATTCCCCGTTTAATTTTATTTTTCGTTTATTTATATTATATTAGCCCGGAATTTTTTATCCACACCATCTGAGGAACCCTAATTCTAGATTCTAGCTTATAAAACACAAACCATGGAACTCTTGCAAATCAAATCACATCACATAGCAGATCAAATCTCATAGATAGCCATAAACTACCACAATGGCCAATCAACACCACGACAACCATGGCCAAAACGGCCAAAAAGCCACCCAAGTAGTAGTAGTAATGGTGCCACTACCAGCTCAAGGCCATCTCAACCAGCTCCTCCACTTCTCTCGCCTTATAACCGCCTACAACATACCAGTCCACTACGTAACCCCCACCACCCACAGCCGCCAAGTCAAGCTTCGCGTCCAAGGTTGGGACCCTCTCGCCACCACCAACATCCAATTCCATGAATTCCCAATCCCTTGCTTTCCCTCTCCTCCTCCAGACCCTAATGCCTCCTGCCCCTACCCCGCTCATTTTTTACCATCATTTCGAGCCTCATTAAGCCTTCGAGAGCCCGTGGGTTCTCTTTTTTGATCACTCTCCGCCACAACTAAAACAGTCATTGTTATTCATGACTCTATAATGGCCTCCGTGGTCCAGGACGTCCTTTCAATATCGAATACAGAGTCTTACTGTTTTCAAAGTACGTCAGCTTTTTCTATCTCCTTATTCTCCTGAGAAACCATAAGAAAACCTGTCTTGATTGAAACCGAAATACTGAAAGAGTCTCCAAGCTTTGAGAGCTGTTTTGTACCAGAGCTCTTGGAGTTTGCCGTAGCCCAAGATAATTACAGTGAATTCAACTCTGGAAGTCTTCATAACTCATGCAGAGTCATAGAAAATCATTACCTTGATATACTTGCAAAGAAAGAGATTATAGGTGATTGGATATTTCCAGACACTCCCAGAAGATGACACGTATACTCGGCGTCAATGGAAACACCTGCTCTAATATTGACACGTCTTCGTGATTTTTAACCCCTGTCCCGAGGATACTATTCACAGGGATCAAGGATCCCCAAACCACAATGAACTGACACATATTCCTCGACAGTTTTGGTTACATCGGTCCTAAATCATGCTAGTCCATTAGTACCGAGGGATATCTATCGCGTCGGCGTTTCTGCACCTACAGGGGCTATTGATGGACAGATCACTAGCTTAGGCAAGACTAGACTAGCCATCGTGACCTTGTCTTACTCAAATGGTGTCAGGAGGCACAAGAAAGTAGAAGACTCAACCAAAGGGGAATGGGCACGTGGCGTATTATGTTAGATCAGAGACAAAAAGACCAGAATGTCTTTGCTGACACACGACTTGGGAAAGCAAATATTTAATGCACCTTTTCCTTGATGAGACAGCATTTAATGCATGAGGGCTCGAAAGTGAAAGGTAATAAATGTCTCAAAGCCTGAGCATTTAATACACCCCTGCCGAGAGAAGATCATTAAACATTCGGCAGACCGAGGAGAAGACATTCGTTGCTCGGGGCCCTGAGCAGTAAAGAATAAGATCATTACTCATGAAAATTGGTGTGTACGTTGCCCACTCCCAATGATTACCTACTAGCTACGTTGTCAGCAATGATTAGTTTTTAAGGTATAAATAGTCCTCACAAACACAGAAAAAGGGTACGCAACTAACCCTCTCTTAACCATCGCACAGTGTTTTCTTCTTCCCCTCTCTAAAAGAACTGACTTGACCGTCGGAGGGGATATGTCGAAAAATACTCCGGCACCCTTCTAACCAGTTTTCCTTTGTTTCAGGAACCTCCTTCAGTTTTCCAGGATCACTCAGGCGACTCGTATCAACGATTGATTATCCACCTTCGACCCTCACAACCTGTTCAACTAGCAAGACCAATCACCTAATTTCGGACACGTGTTCACCATGGAAGAGATCTGTTCTAGTGTTTATATTGTGCAGAATTCTGCACTTACAATTTGACGTCGTCTGTGGGAAACGAGTAGTTTTTCTAGTTTTTTCTCTATAAAGAATAGTGACCATGGTAAATACTCGACAGAAAGGGAAAGGTCCCCAACAAAGAATTCTCGAGTTGCAAGCTCCTCGTCATGTTGTGAGAGGGGATCACGCTGATGACAACAGGAACATTTCTATTCATTCAAGGGGAGCATACTCCTCAAACCAGTATGGGCATTAGATTAGGAGGATCCGTTCTCTTGGCTCGTTAACTAGCGGAGGTGATTGAAGAAAAATTTGGGGATCGCCTACGACGGTTAGAACAAGATAATGTGAATGTCCTAAGCCGGCTCAACGAATTCGCCACCTCCGGCGAAGGATTGGGGGACTTATTCCGTTGTCGTGGACGCCCCATCCAGGAAGTGGAAACCGGGGACCTGAGGAATCATTTGAACAACAAAGCTTAGAGCTCCAGGGTCTTGGAACGCCTGAGAGCCGATGATCACCCTCTCGACGGTCATTCCAGGAAGGCAAGGCCTTTGGTCTACGACGACCTCTGGCGGGGACTGTCAAGGCGGGGGAAGGGAGATGAGTTCGAGGGGGATTTGACCCTTTCGCACGACGCCCAGAGAAGGGGAGCCCCGCCAATGACCTTGGAAACTTCAGAAGTCATCCTTCCGAGGTGGAGACTGATCTCAGAGCCCGATTGGAATCCAGGAGAAGGGGCAAGGCTGTCCAGGATCACACCGAAGACGAGGCCATGCAATCGCCTTTTACCAGGGATATCTGAGATATGGAGGCACCAAAGAAGTTCGTCGTGCCAAGGTTTAAAACTTATGATGGGCGATCTGATCTCGAGGCTCACCTTAGGCAGTACAAGTAAATGATGTCCCTGTATCATTCGGACCAACGACTCTTCTACTGTGTGTTCTCCATGAGTCTGGGAGATTCTGCGATGAAGTGGTTTGAGACTCCTCCCAACAGCATTGGGTCATGGAAGGAGTTGGCAAGGCAGTTTGTAGCTCGATTCATTACGGGGAGTAAGCGACCCAAAGACATTGGGTCATTACTAACGCTCAGGCTGAGGGAACAAGAAACCTTTCGCCAGTATGCCACCTGGTACTGGGAGGAGGTCAATGAGGTAGAGGGGTGTTTGGAGGTCATGGCAGTCGCATCCTTTAGGCTTGGCCTGGCAAGGGATACAGACTTGTACCGATCCCTGACTAAGAAGACTCCTTTAGATATGAGCGAATTGATGACCCGAATAAACAAATACTCCAGTATTGAGGAAGAAATAGGGGGTAACAAAGGCAGAACTCTCCCACCAAGAAGAAAAGAGAGAGCGGGGGATACCTCCCGAAACGGACTGGTACCCCCTCTAGGGGGGTCATTCAAATGTGTTCACACTGTTTTCAAAGAAACCATTTACAAGTTACTCCATAAAATCAAGCATGAGCCGTTCTTCAAGTGGCCGCCCAAGATGTAGAGTGATCCTTCCACCCGTGATCAAAAGATCAAGTGTTCCTATCACTGGGATTTTGGCCATCGCACTGAAAATTGCAGGGTATACAAGTCTTTCTTGGAAGGGCTAGTCCAGGACGGTTACTTGAAAGAATACGTCGAACCCAAGTTAAAAGAGATACGCGGTCTTACCCCGATCGTGGAGCAAGACAATGTCATAAACGTGATCCATGTATGTTCACTGGATCGCTCGACATCCAAGGAGCTTGAGTTCGACCTCAAGAGGGTAGCCTTTACAAGAAAGGTCGCCGAAAGTGATGGGGGCCCGCCCAGCAAGAGGGCCAGAATCGGTGAGCCGGGTATCACTTTTTCCGATGCAGATTTGGCAGGCGTGGTGACTCCCCATAACGACGTCCTGATCATAACTCTAAAGATAGGTAAGTTTGACGTCAAGAGGGTGTTGGTAGACTCCAGGAGTTCCTCGAAAGTAATGTACTCGGAGACTTTAAAGCGGATGGGCTTTAGCCTCAAGGACCTCACCAAGGTCAGGACACCCCTCATCGGATTTAATGACTCATTTGCCATGTCCATAGGCAAAATCACATTGCCAGTCGTCACGGGTCCCTTCACCATCAATATTGAGTTTGTTGTGATTGATACGGACTCCCCCTACAATGTGATCATGGGGCGAACTTGGTTGCATGCACTGGGAGCGATGCACTCTACCTATCACCAGAAGTTGAAATATACTACTCCAGAAGGGATAATGGAGATCCGAGGGGACCAAGCGTCCGTGAAAAACTGTTTCTACTCAGCTGTGAGAGCAGGGGTTTCCACCCAAGAGAAGGGACGCGCCCCGGAAGAGATCCTGGAAAAATAACAATCACAGTCCAGACGTCCAAGAGTGGATGACCCCCGGACTGATCCAACCAATCGGTCGATAGAAGACCTCTGAAAGGTATTCTTAGTGGATGGTGAAGAGGAGAGATACTTCCTGATTGGAACTACAATGCCTACAGCGGAATAGGAAGAGATGATCAACTTTTTGAGGTAAAATGCGGACGTGTTCGCTTGGAACGCAATGGAAATGAAGGGGGTGGACCCCGAAATAATCACGCATAAGCTACATGTTGACCCGACACACAAACCAATAAAGCAAAAGCCACGGCGCATGGCGCCACACCACGCCCGGGCGGTGAATGAGGAAATCGATAAACTCCTTGAGGCTGATACCATCCGGGAGGTGCAGTTCCTAGAGTGGTTATCTAACACAGTCTGCGCGAAGAAAAAAGGGGGGAAATGGCGCGTCTGCGTAGACTTCACTGATCTAAACAAAGCGTGTCCCAAGGATGACTACCCTCTCCCAAATGTGGACCAGTTGGTGGATGCCACTACCGGGTACTAGCGTATGAATTTCTTGGATGCCAGAGTAGGATATCATCAAATCCCTCTCTATCCCCCGGATCAAGAAAAGACAGCGTTTATCACCCTGAGGGGGGTTTACTGCTACAAAGTCATGCCATTTGGGCTGAAGAACGCTAGAACTACGTACCAGAGGCTGATGAATCGGATGTTTAAAAGACAGATCGACAACACCATGAAAGTCTACATCAATGATATGTTGGTGAAAGTAGAAGAAGTTGTGACCATCTGGTGGATTTGGCTGATACCTTCTCCACCCTCAGGGAGTATGGGCTGAAGCTAAATGCCGCAAAGTGTGTTTTTGGAGTCGAGTCAGGTAAATTTCTCGGATATCTGGTAAGTCAGCGAGGAGTCAAAACTAATTTGGATCAAATTCAGGCTATCCTAGACGTCTGGAGCCTCCAAACAGTCCGAGAAGTCCAGAAGCTCACAAGGATGTTGACGACACTCAACCGTTTCATCTCTCGCTCCTCGGACAAATGCAAACCCTTCTTTGGGGCCATCAAGGGGGCCAGGAAGGATACGTGGAGCTAGGAGTGTGAAGACGCCCTGACAGGAATCAAGGAATACCTCAGGGTTCTCCCGACCCTATCCGTCCTTGTCTAGGGGAAAATGTTCTTCCTCTACTTATTCGTATCAGAATTTGCCATCAGCGGAGTACTCATTTGTGA